TGGCAGTAGACAAAGCAGACTAATCAGATGATCATAAATCAGTAGTGAATCGGAAAGTGCTTTGTCAATCAAAGAGAATTTGGTGCATAGCTACCATACTTTCTTTTTCGTTTTTTTATTGTGGTAACATTGGTTTATAACATTATATAAATTTCAGGTGTACATCATTGTATTTCTATTTCTGCATAGATTACATCATGTTCACCACCCAAAGGCTGATTACAGTCCATCTCCACACACGTGCGCATAGCCACTCTGTAGAGAAGTCCTTCCCGGCCCTCAGAGCCACGCAGGCAGCCGTGCCTGTGCGCTGACCCTGCTTTGAGACACTCACCTAAGGCACTGATGATGTTTCTGTGAAAGACGCCTATCCATTGCAAGTTTCCCCCACAAAAGAAAATTTAACTGAGCAGGGCTTGTTAAGGTTTGCACTGTTGTTGACGTAAAAACAAATGGGTGTTAAACCATCCTCCTGTCTGTCAGGAAGCCCAGGGATATGCCCTCCGGCTACTGCAGGCGTGTGGGTGACTATTTGAAAATGGAAAGGCTCTTGGATGCCGAGGGTCAGGACACCAAGTTAGGGGTGGTGGAGAACTCCTCTACCAGGATCCTTTCCCCATCCTGGGACGTGCAGTCATGGAGGCTCCTTACAGGGGGGCAGCCACAGGTCCTCGAGTCTCAGGGTTCCCTGTCTATAAGGGGTGGTGAGGGGACCAGCCGATTTCTGATCCTGGGTAGGAGTCTTCGCCGGGCACACTTTGTGTTTTCAGCAGATGGCTCTTCTCTTGGCAGGATCGAGCGCGTCATTGACAACAACACCACGGTGAAGATGGTACCCATCAAGATTGTGCACTCAGAAAGCCAGCCGGAGAAGGAGAGCCGCCAGGGCCTGGCCCACGCCGCCGAGCTGCCCGCGCTGCCCAGCGGGCTGGAGAGAGACCAGATCAAGACGCTCAACACATCCGAGCAGTGCTACTCACGCTTCTGCGTGTACAGCCGTCAGGGCGCCGAGCCCGAGGCCCAGCGCGGGGGCCGGCCGGCCGAGCCCCAGCCCCCCAGCACCCCAGCGCCCCCTGCCAAGGATGGCCAGGCCTCCCCTCCTGGGCTCAGCTACGTGAAGGCCAAAGAGAAGACGGCCGAAGACCTGAAGTCAGAGGAGCTGGCCCGGGAGATCGTGGGGAAGGATAAGTCCCTGGCTGATATCCTGGACCCCGGTATGAAGATCAAAACCGCCATGGAC